AGTATATAAATGCAAAACAGCAGTTTCTCTTCATGATTGGATGCTCGAGCATATAACTTAAAGCACAACCTGTGTATTATGGTTTTTAACTTTCTAAGATACTTCAACGGTAAAAAAAGTTACTGTAGTAAAACTGTGGTAACCACTAATTACTCACTTGTTTGCTACATTACCCATTTAGTTTAACCAGGAAAGCCTATTTGTAGTAAAACTGTGGCTATACAGTTGCTAATTAATCTGTGGGAAAAACAAATTAGTACCATAAATATACTATAGGCTCAAACCCATGGTTAATTTGCATAAAGTATTCTCTGAACTGCTGCTGAAATTAAAAATTCTCAATTGTCAAAAATATATAAATACAAAACGGCAGTTTCTCTTCATGATTGGACTCTTGAGCATTTAACTTATCTAAAAACATCACAACCATTGTGTAACATGGCTTTTTCTAATGTGTATATTTGTTTCTCCATGCCTGTTCAAACCCTGTTTTTGGGCTAAGATGGCATCACGTCACCTCCGTCAGTTCATACACTGGTGCCAGGCAGAAAATAGAGGCCGATGCATCCTATAAAGCCATCACATGGTAGATTACAGAGCAGACTCGGGCAGCGTTTCAGAGAGCCGTCCCACCCATTACATCCAAATTACATGTTTGCATCAGATGCTGGTGTTTGAAACATATTTTTATTGCAAACCAAGAGGGTTACTGGGTTTCTTTCTGCTCCCCCTAAAAGAAGAGGATTGTAATTAGCCGCGAGCAGAAGAGCCGAGCAAATATGAGCAATACCATGCAAAAGTTTTTACCAAAATAGTGAAACCTTTTTTTCTTGTGTATGCTTGTATTTTACAGTACCGCAAAATGTCGCCGTCAATGTTTTCAAGCATTTATATTTGATTTACCAAAGTGCCAATTTCACATCAGTCACTTCCATAGTGAAGATTTCCCCTCATAAATGCACAAATGTCAAATAAAATCAATGATTTTTGTTCTATAGAGAGCAACTCTTATGCTTTTGATTAGCATTGTGTCTTTTGGTTTGTGTATGTTTAATTCACAATTTCTGCAAAGCATGTTGTAGACCGTAAACTCAGCATTTATAACAGCGCATGCTTATTTTCCTCATTTAAAATATTAAAAATGTTAATTGATTGATATTTATCTGAACCCATAACTCATTCGGGAAAATATAAACCGATGTTTTAATATAACGTTAACACACACACACCTACCGGCCACTTTATTAGGTACACCTGTCCAACTGCTTAACGCAAACTTCTAATCAGCCAATCACATGGCAGCAACTCAGTGCATTTAGGCATGTGGACATGGTCAAGACGATCTGCTCCGGTTCAAACCGAGCATCAGAATGGGGAAGAAAGGGGATCTAAGCAGGCCCGGCGCCAGGAAGTCAAAACTGAGGGGGCACTTTAAATTCATAGGGGGGCACTAGACCTGGTGACTGATTTTGGTCTCTTGTTTCTTTCATTTAGGCTATTTATTCGCATTTATTATTACTTTGCATTACTGCCTAAGTTACTGACCTAAGGCAGTAATATAGGCTACGTTTTAATAGTAATAACAATACGCAGTTTCGCTATTACGAATTTTATTAACGATGGTAATGCATACCGCTTATTAATGCAGACGGATGGTGGCTTCTAGAGATGCGCGGTTGGCGGTTATAGCCGCGGACTCCGCGGATAAACCGCGGATCGGGCGGATGACGTTACGAAAAAATAATATTTTAATTAAATTCGGGCAGGTGGCGGGCGGTTGTACTGTTTTATATTCATAGCTGGCGCACCAACGAAAAAGCCTACGACTGACTTCACAGAATGGGAGGTGGAATCGGATACATTAATTCTGGATGAAGTGTACAGAAGTATTCCTCTACAAACTTCCGTATAGACGGATCAGCAGAGGAAAACCTACTTTCCTTTTGGGAGAAATAAGGACAGGCATTCCCACGATTACAGAACCTTTCCAAGAGAATTCTATGCATTTCAGCAACAAGTGCTGCGAGCGAGCGCTCCTTCAGTGCAGCAGGGCGCAGTGGCTATGCAGGCGCTCCCGTCTGAATCCTGACACTAGATGCTATTTTATTCCTGCATTGTGCCAAGAAAAAATCAAACTAGACCTAAGGTCAGGCATATTAAACCAATTAGCCTATGTTATTTAGGCTACAAATATGTTCAATATAAACTTTTGAGTTCGGTCAGCTGATAACTTTACGTTCATATTGGTTTAGCCTATTCTATTCTAGACATGTTGGCCTCGCTTTTACATTCCGAGGCTAAGGTTATTTTGCCAGAATTTCTTTGTCGCAAATTTAATGGCGTAGTATTTCGTTATGCTTCAAGTTTGAGGGGAATGGGGATGATCCTAAGTCCATGGGTTATTGGGGCACTTGTCATACATGCACTTTAGCTTGGTCAGGTTCGCTCAAAGAGGGATGGCATATCTATTTTTCTAATTTAATTTCTAATTGTGGGGGTGACTGAGCCTACAAGGCTTAGGCACGATATGATGTTTTTATTAAAAAATTTTCAACTGTTTGCCAAAGCATGCGACTATAGCCTATGCCTACATTAAGATATTTATGTTAATATTTTTTTACTGCCTGTTGTTTCTTTTGGCATATAAAATAGGTATTGTCTGATAGAGATATAAATAAAGGATCATCTGTGTCGCAGAACTGTGTTGTTTCCGATTTCTACAAGCTCAATAACATCCACAGCAAAAAATAAAAAATAGTTGAAAAACTGTGCCCATTAATTAGATGTGGAAGGCAAGCAGGTACGTTTTTGGGGTTGCTATGGACAACTACAAATGTAAACATTATTAGGCTATAATGTAAATGACTTATTCTATCTATTTACTAAAAAATTAAGTGAAATAGGCATTTAGTAGTAGGCTAAATAGCAGCATGTTGAAATGATGTGTCAATGCGTTTTCTATTAGGCTACAATAAAAAAGTTGTACAGTACAGTGCGTTTAATTTAGGCTATTTATTTATTTTTGTCCCTGTGCGCCGATTGGAGACGGAGTTCACTGCTGATATTCTGAGAGCTCGGGTGCTTTTCATTTCTTATTTGTGCATCCTCGTTTCCTTTCCTTGCTTTCTTTCCTCGTGTTTCCACCCCACCGGGATAACGTTACGAGGGAAAGACGCAAGGAAAAGGCTGAAGGACCGAGGAATCGAATCAAGTGAAAAGACACGTCCTCGTATCTTTAGCGTCACTTCAAAGCGTCGTCAATTAATGACTTGCACGTTTGGATTAACTGCATGTCTACATTAAAGTCATTCTCTATTCTATAATGATCAATAAAAAAACATCCATTTAATAAAAAAAAGGAATAAGCCATTCAAATAAAGAGCCCAATCAGCAGATGGCGGGCGGGTGCGGTTTTAAAAATTGATCAAAAATGTTACTGCGGATGGATGGCGGACGGATGATGAATTTTGTCATGCGGTTGCGGATGAAATAATAGCCCATCCGCGCATCTCTAGTGGCTTCAGTGCCAAACGAGTGCTTTAAATCATATGTTATTCTCCTTATTTCCGTTTTATTTCAAATAACAGCCCTATGAATGTTTAAAGTTTTAGGTAAAGACGTCAAATTATGCCCACACATGCAAGCTGACCCACGATCAGACAATTCATTTAACCGGTAAATAAATATAGTGAAATCAGCTTAACCGAGTCATCACGCTTCACAACCAACATCAGTGTTAGGGAAAAGCTAAATGTGACAATCTAATGTCATTCAAAACAATTACTTAGTTACATTTTAAGGCATTAGTGTAGCCAGAAAAATACCTAAAAAAGATACAAAAATTCACAGTTATTACCGTGAAAATTGGTTAAATTTTTATATGCTATATAACTTTTTTTTCATCATTTTAAATGTAAAAACAAAGATTTGTCTAAGGCTATTATAAATGTGCTTTTTTCGTGATATTGTAAACCATCATAAACCATATGTACCATAGTTTCTAGGCCTACCCGTCATTTTATTTATTAATTATTTTATTTATTAGGCCTTTTTTAATAGCTTGTTTTCAGGTTATTTTCATTTTAGGGCCATGAGCTAAGTCAAAACAAACTCGATATGTTGTATTTTAGCTCTTAAAACAGATCTACAATATATTTTATGTTGTTTAATTTTGCATGAGCAAATAGCAGTATAGCCTAAGTTACATACTTTTAAAAGATTATCATTCTGCCTACCTGCAGCGCACGAGATTTCTCGGTTGATCCGCGGTAAATCCACTTAAGCACTATACCTATTCCATTTATAACACTGCAAACTTGACTTCGCAGGCCGATCATCTTTAAACGCAAAATGCATTTATGTGTTATACCTTGACTGCAGTTGCATAATGGGATGTTTCTCTACGCAACTGTAAAAGTGCACTTTTCAGCAAAATGAAAGCAAACATTCAAAGGGTTCTGCGTTTTGTCAATTTTAGCTTAATTGTAATAATATTAATAATAATATTAATAAATAAATTAAAATATTATTTATAGTGTAGCCTACTGTGGGACTGTGCAGTAAACTATTTATTTTTATTAAAACATTTTTATTAGGCTACATCTTCCCGAATAACTAATAAATGACTGGCAGTTGCGTCTCTGCTAAAATTAATTTAACAGCAAATTTCTTATGTGTTTTTTCCTTTTAGAGCTCAAGAGAGTTGTGTTTAAATAATTAGTTAACCAAAACATGTAATGAATTAAGCTGCTCCTATCATGTCACCCATTTTCTCCCTTGTGAGTTGAGTGCGCCTCCATCGCCGTGTGCGCGTTTTAAAGGCTATTTACGGGCGCACCAGACCTGACGCGGGGACCGGATCTCTGGACTATAGGACTAGCTTTAACCTCACCATTTTCATAATTTAATTGCTATGTCATATATTTTAAAATATTTAAATGTGTGTTCTGAAGGTTGGAAGGACGGGAGTGTTAATAATTAATGACAGAAAGAATTTTCAGTTTGAGTGAACAATCCTTTATAAAAACTGGGGGGGCACAAACTCTGTTTGAGGGGGCAATGCTACCCTTTGCCCCCCCGTAGCGCCGGGCCTGGATCTAAGTGACTGAACGTGGTTGTGGTGCCAGGTGGGCTGCTCTGAGTATTTCAGAAACTGCTGATCTACTGGGATTTTCACGCACAACCATCTCTAGGGTTTACAGAGAATGGTCTAAAAAGGAAACATCCAGTGAGGTGGAGTTCTGTGGGCGCAAATGCCTTGTTGATGTCAGAGGAGAATGGCCAGACTGGTTCCAGCTGATAGAAAGGCAACAGTAACTCAAATAAGCACTCGTTACAACCGAGGTCTGCAGAAGAGCATCTCTGAACACACAACACGTCCAACCTTGAGGCGGATGGGCTACAGCAGCAGAAGACAACATCAGGTGTCACTCCTGTCAGCAAAGAACAGGAAACTCATGTCAATATGGAGCAAAATCTCTGAGGAATATTTCCAGTACTTTATTAAATCTCTGCCATGAAGGATTAAGGCAGTTCTGAAGGCAAAAGGGGGCCCAACCCGGTACTAGTAAAGTGTACCTAATAAAGTGACAAGTGAGTGTACGTTCTCTACGAGATTTTACTGCAAACATTACATCCATAACGCTGGAATTGCTCATATATGCTGATGCTCAAACCAACAGACTCCGCAGTGAGTCCACGAGTCCTGGGTCGTTTACAACGACTTCCCACTGAGACAGACTTCCCGTTGAGTCTCCTTCTTATTTGAACATTTGAATCGCTACAAAAGAAGTGCAATCCTGCAATCAGCGTCCAACTGAGGCGTTGTTTAATTCTCCATAAAAAGTCTCATTCGAGATTGCGCAGGTGCCTCAGAATGCGTCACTGTCCACGACGAGGACTGCTCAGTCAGAAAATCCATTTGTCATATATAGTGTATATCTTATATACTCACAACTAGGAGACACGTCCCGCCGCAGATCCTCAGGGAAAGCACATCTACTCTAAAGGTGCGGTCACACTAGACTTTGAGCATTGGGAAAATTGTTTACTTAATTGCATTAAGCTTCTCTAGTTTCATGACTTGAAACACTCACTCGCATATATAACATTAAATGTATATAAAATTAGCTTATCTTTATTTGGTTCTCATGACCTGTTTGACCTTTTCAAGAGTTCACACTTAACTGATGATTATTTATAAAGAGATAATCCCGGGAGAGACCGAGATCCTCGAGCCCGGGGCTCCCTCCCGTTTGCAAGGCGAGAGGGGAGTTTGAGCTCAGGTAGATCTCGAGAACTCCTCTGCTGTAGTAGCCAATGAACAGATAGTGATCGCTCTTAAGAGATAACTAATTACTAGGAGCATGTCCATGGTGCTGATTTGGATTAGTCAATTAACTTGAGCTGCATGTTTTTGAAGAAATCAGGGAAATTCACGTGAGAATGTGTAAACTCTGCACAGAAATGTCGGCTGGCTTAGAACCAGCGATATTCTTGCTGTGAGGCAACAGTGCTAACCACTGGGCCACCGTGCCGCACAATCTAGGAAAGGAGGAGGAGTAGGGGTGGAAGGAGGGGGTTCTTCAAAACGAAGATGGCTGTCATATGGAACTTTGGGTATTTATAGTGGCTTAGGAATCGTCTGATTGGTGGATCATGAATTGGATAATCCCGGCCAGCTGCACGCAATCATAAGCATGTGATCCTCTCGAAATTAGTCTATAAATAAACTTCATGTATGTTAAATAGGATGATGAGATGCCATTTAAAAAAGCACTTTTGTCCATTTTATTTTGCCGTCAAAAGGTCATGCTAAGACGCTTCAATTATGCATTTTTTTAGCTTTTCTTGACCTTTCTAATCCAGCGAAATGCACGCCATGACATTTTCTATCCTTCGCTGATCGCAAAGTTTCTAAAACTTTTCAAAGCCAGAAAAATTGAAATTCCACACAAGCTTGTATTTAAAGTCTAGTGCATTCTCAAACATGTGATTGGAAGGAAACGTGGGGATCTGAATCTAAAATAACAGCCCCTTTTTTTGTCCTGTGTGGACTTGCGTTATATTGCGTCCTCTGTCTAGCGTCTACAAACTTAGAAAGATCTGGATATGACGTTTCGATTTTTACTGATCGCTTGGTTTTACCTAATGCTTGAACTTTTAACGTTTTCCCCTGGCTTCCATTTTAAATAATTACTATAGAAATAATTAGTCTTTATTTATGACCTTTTGGACTTATGTTTATATTGGATGATATGGTATGGCTAAAATTAGCATGCCCTCCATTTTTATCCTCTTTAGAGAAAGCTCATGCTATGTCTTCACATCTTTGCTGATCGCACACTTTCAACTTTGACAGTGAAATGTAAAACTTTGACTCTGGCTTGATTTTCCAGTCTAAAGCATTCGTGACCAAGTCATTTTTCTTCATTTGACTCTTACTAGATATACTAAACTAATATTTTAGCATATAATATATTAAATAGGATGAGATCTTGCTAAAATGTGTACTCTACCATAGAGCAAGGTGATGTGATGTTTCAATCTTTCACCGAGATTTTTAAGTACTGATTGAACTTTTTAGCACCGTGAAATGCAAAACTTTCTGGACAAGCTTGTATTTCCGTCATCGGAGAGTAAAGTGCAGTGTGACCGCCCATTAAGGCTCTTGCTACAAAAGATCTGAATCCAAAAAAACGGGCCCTTTTAGTGTCCCATGTGGATTTGCGTTATATTGAGTGTCTACACACCTTGAAACGCTACTCTACTGGACGGGGAAGGGCACAGGTTTTCAGAGGAATGCAGTTTAATCAATGAACTTGTGCATGTCTCCGTACAGCCAGCGCTGCGGTGGGAGCGAAGCGTCGTTCAGGCTCCCGCAATCATCGTTGCACTTGCAGGACTGCACGAACATGACGGCCCGCTCGAAGCGCTCGCCGGTGGGACAGCTGAACAGCACTGGGACCGTCCGGGTGCGGCGGGGGGAGCAGCAGCGTCCGTCCAGACACATCCCGCAGTAGTTTGGACGGTAGAGACGCGTGCTGCGGCAGCCGGCGTAACGCAGACGGAGAGGCTCTGGAGACTTCTGTGTGCGGGAACACTTCCTCCCCTTCTGTTGGACCAAGATAATTCAGGTTACTCTCACATTCACACTAGAAAACTAGTGCAGTTAAAGCAGTGGTTCTCAAATCTCCCTTGCATACACATTTTGTATGTTAATATATGAACCGTACCTTTTAAAAACACAACATGAGCATTCATAGCAAATACACAAATGTAAATATCCCGCTCGCTATGAGCCCTGTCGAGCGAGTTCTTACACCCCTATGATTAGTCAAGTTCTCAAAAGAAATGACTGCGATTGTCTCTGGTTCTGTTCACCGATGACTGAGGCCAGGGCCGGCGCGTCCATAGAGGCGACCTAGGCGGCCGCCTAGGGTGGCAGAATAGAAAGGGCGGCGTCTGCGACAACCCCCCCACCACCCGCGTCCTCTGTTATATCCGCGCCTAGTGTGGCAGAATATAGAGGGCAGCGTCCCCGACACTACCCTCACCACCTGCGCCCTCAGTTATATCCACACCTAGTGCAGCAGAATATAGGGGGCGGCGTCCCCAACACTACCCTCACCACCTGCGCCCTCGGTTATATCCATGCCTAGTGCGGCTGAATATAGAGGGTGGCGTCCCCGAAATTACCCTCACCACCTGCGCCCTTAGTTATATCCGCCCCTAGTGTGGCAGAATATAAAGGGCAGCGTCCCCGACACTACCCTCACCACCTGCGCCCTCGGTTATATCCGCGCCTAGTGCGGCAGAATAGAGAGGGCGGCGTCCCTGACACTACCCTCACCACCTGCGCCCTCAGTTATATCCACACCTAGTGCAGCAGAATATAGGGGGCGGCGTCCCCAACACTACCCTCACCACCTGCGCCCTCAGTTATATCATGCCTAGTGCGGCAGAATAGAGAGGGCGGCGTCCCTGACACTACTCTCACCACCTGCGCTCTCAGTTATATCCGCGCCTAGTGCGGCAGAATATAAAGGGCGGCGTCCCCGACACTACCCTCATCACCTGCGCCCTCGGTTATATCCACGCCTAGTGCGGCAGAATATAGACGGTGACGTCCCCGACATTACCCTCACCACCTGCGCCCTTAGTTATATCCGCCCCTAGTGTGGCAGAATATAAAGGGCAGCGTCCCTGACACTACCCTCACCACATGCGCCCTCAGTTATATCCGCGCCTAGTGCGGCAGAATAGAGAGGGCGGCGTCCCTGACACTACCCTCACCACCTGCGTCCTCAGTTATAGCCGCGCATAGTGCGGCAGAATAGAGAGGGCGGCGTCCCTGACACTACCCTCACCACCTGCGCCCTCAGTTATTTCCTCGCCTAGTGCGGCAGAATAGAGAGGGCGGCGTCCCCGACACTACCCTCACCACCTGCGCCCTCAGTTATATTGGCGCCTAGGGTGGCAGAATATAGAGGGTGGCGTCCCCGACACTACCCTCACCACCTGCGCCCTCAGTTATATCCGCGCCTAGTGTGGCAGAATATAAAGTGCGGCGTCCCTGACACTACCCTCACCATCTGCGGCCTCAGTTATATCCGCGCCTAGGGGAGCAGAATAGAGAGGGTGGCGTCCGTGACAGCTCCCTCACCCTCACCATCTGCGCCCTCAGTGCGGCAGAATAGAGAGGGCGGCGTCCCCGACACTACCCTCACCACCTGCGCCCTCAGTTATATCCGCGCCTAGGGGAGCAGAATAGAGAGGGCGGCGTCCGTGACAGCTCCCTCACCACCCGGATCATCAGCTATATCCACGACCCCCGCCCCCCCAACACCCCCCACCCAAATACCCGCTTTCACTTTCGGGTAGAGGGCAACAGTTCAGCTCTCTCCGGCCCTGACTGACGCTGATCCATAATAGACGTGGTGGAGAAAACTCGCACTTCTTACAGAAGTATAGCCTCGTACACACTGGGACGCTTTTCGTTTGCGTTTATCGTCAGCGTTTTGGCAACCAAAAATTGGTTTAAAATGTCATTTTTAGTAAGACCATGTCTGATGGAAATGTGCAAATTGCATATAAGTGTCAGAGAGATAAGTGTGTTTCTTACAGGTGGCTTGTCAAACCCACTCACCTGTGTGAGGCACAACCAGCTTGAGCTTGTCATGTTATGTAGGCTAATTGGGATGTAGCATACATTTTCAAAGCAGTCTGAGCAGACATGCACTACTGTTCATCAGGATTCTGTGGTAAACATGCAGTTACTTCCCAAACGTTTACCTTTATAGGCACAGCCGCAGAGCTGCAGGGACGAATGTTGCAGAGTCTGGTTTCCTTCATCAGTTTGCACTGCCTGTTCTCATTGGTGACCCGCGACGAAACGCCCATCCCGCAGCTCCGCGAACAGGACGTCCAGCTCGTGGTCTGCGCTACACACTGACGTCCGGCCTGCTTCCATGCTAGGAAAAACCAGGAGAAAAGACGGGGTAAGCAAGCACACAGGCACCATTCAGCCAACACTGACGCACACACAGAGTGATTACGCAGAGAAACAGCGTCCGCTTCACTGGAAAACACACCCAACACAAGCTCCCACTGAAGCGCTCGCTGGAGGAGCGGCCACGGCTCACATTGGGAGCGATTGTCAATTGAAGTGGAAGCCAAAGGCAGTTCGTAAGAGACGCATTCCTGCAACTCCGGGCTATTTTTAATTGTTGGTTTATGTCAACATGCACACTAAATCATGCTGCTTACTCTGAGACGGGGTTAGCAGAGTTCACAACTAAACAAATCTAAATCCTGCCACTTCAGAGCCGTTTGAGGAGGGTTTTTATTTCAACACAAAGGAAAATATTCTGAAGACTTGCATTGACTACCATAGTATTTTGTTTACTTTTGTTTCTGCTATGGATGTCAGTATTTTTTTTTTGGTCAAAAGTAGGACGAAATTCATGGAAGTTTTTAAAAACTACTTGAGTGCGAGTGAATTGTCATTAATTATTGACAATTAGCCATATTGAGAAAATTAGCTTTCATTTGACTCTTTTCCAAAAGAAAATTTGTGTTTGTTTTTGTTTTTCAATTTGATGCACTAAAATTCATTCATTTATTTTCTTGTCGGCTTAGTCCGTTTATTAATCCGGGGTTGCCACAGCGGAATGAACCGCCAACTTATCCAGCAAGTTTTTACGCAGCGGATGCCCTTCCAGCCGCAACCCATCTCTGGGAAACATCCACACACACATTCACACTCATACACTATAGACAATTTAGCCTACCCAATTCACCTGTACTGCATGTCTTTACACTGTGGGGGAAACCGGAGCACCCTGAGGAAACCCACGCGAAGGCAGGGAGAACATGCAAACTCTACACAGAAACGCCAACTGAGGCGAGGCTCGACCCAGCGACCTTCTTGCTGTGAGGCGACAGCACTACCTACTGCGCCACTGCCTCGCCCTATGCACTAAAATCTTTAATGTAAATAAATATTATCACAGACGAAAATGACAAACACACAACGGTATCGCCTAAACTTCAGCTAAAATTAAAATGAAACTGAAGACTTTCTGAAGAAGACTTTCTATTGACTTCCATAGTCTTCAAACATTTCTCAAAATATCTTGTTTTTTGTTTAAAAAAAGAAATGTAAAAGTTTACTTGAGTGCGAGTAATTGAGGAAATTTGCATTTTTGTGTGAACAAACCTTTTTAAGCATAAGGCCACTTAAATTATTCATTCATTTTCTTGTCGGCTTAGTCCCTGTATTAATCCGGGTCCCCACAGCGGAATGAACCGCCACATTATCCAGCACGTTTTTATGCAGCGGATGCCCTTCCAGCAGCAACCTATCTCTGGGAAACATCCACCCACACACTCATACACTACAGACAAGTAAATATAAATAAATATATATATATATATATATATATATATATATATATATATATATATATATTGATATATTAATTATTGGCAATTGGCTTTTTTTCCATTTTACTCTTTGCCAAAAGGATTTTTATTTTTTCAGTTTAATGCACTAAAATATTTTGATATAAATAAATCTTTATACGGACACACAATGCCAAAACACACAGACTGTCAGTTTTGTGCTAAAATCTGTTTTGCGCAAACGTAGCAGTATTGATAAAACTTTAACTGAAGTTAAAACGAAATGTAACTAAAATAAAATGACCATTTAAACAAAAGATGCCAAATTCAAAGCATAATCTTCTGTTCTGTTACCACAATGACAACGACCTGGGTCAACATTTTAAGTTAAGTTTATAGATGGACACTAAATTAATACATGATTGATATCGCCATACTTGATTAATAACAGTACATTAAGACAAATGTTTTACAAATTTTCTGAAAATGTGTATTTTTCTGAAATGTTTTTTTTTTGTAGTGATGCAGTATTTAAATAAATATAGTTAAATGTTTTTTTATTTAATTAAATAAATTAAATTGTAAATAAATAAATAAATTAAATGAATAAAACAAATAGAAATAAATAGAAATATTATCTATAATATATAGATTATCTATAATACAAATGTTATATATTAACATTAACTTATTTAATTTTATTTAATGTTAATGTTATTTAATTTTATTTTTTATTTATATTTATTAATTTAATTTTAAATAATTAATTATAATAATTTTAATGTTTAATTATTTCTTTTTAATTATTTAATGAATTTTATTTAATGACTTTTTAATAAATTAATTTTATTTATTTAAATTAATTAATTAAATTAAATAATTAAAATTTAATAAATTAAATTAAATTAACTAAATAAACAAATATAATTAAATAACATTAAATAACTGTTTAAATATTTAAAATCAAACAAATAAATAAGATAAATAAATATAATTAAATTAAGTAAAATAAATTAATAATTAAATAGAATAAATAAATAGAAATAAATAACATAAATTTAAATAACATTAAATAAAAGTAAATAAATTGAAATAAATAAATAATTAACAATAAAATAATTAAAACTAATTGATTAAATATAAATAAATAAATAAATAAATAAATAAATAAATAAATAAATAAATAAATAAATAAATAAATAAACTGAGTCCACTGGATAAATCTAGAGTTAAAGTTGTCAAAAAATGTTTAATTTTGTTGATCTATTACTGAAGAGATTTTAGATCTCGCCTATGTAGTGATAAAAAGACAAACTGCTGTCAACAGCCAGAAAAAAACATGATTTTCACCATGTTTTTTAATTTAGAAAAAACATTATATAATTAAATGTGAAAAATGTATATATTATATCTTTAAAAATCAGTAAAATAATTAATTTCATAATATAGTGGGGGAAAAATATCAAGTAAATATGATTAGTTGACTTTCCTTAAAATAAAGCATCTTAAAAGAAACAAACTTACTCACTCATTTTAGGTACAACTAACTGTTTTAAAAGCAACGGGTTTACTCCTTACAAAAAAGTGCTAGTTGTGAAACTCAGAAAGACGTTCTCACCTGGCAGGTGTTTTCGGCTGCGTGGTTTGTCCCAGCGTTTCTCCACCTCCATGAGCTCATTACTCAGGCTGTATTTGGGCTTGGCTGGAGGTTTCTTGAAGGTGTGTGGGTCGGGGAGCAGAAACGGTGGTGGCTGCGGGCGTCTGAACACCGGAGGCAGGACGGGCGACTCTCCATGGCAGTCCAGGCTGAGGCAGCACTGGCCAGGGATTTTGACCAGCCGGGGTTTGGGACAGGACGGGGAGGACAGCGGGATATCAGTGGGACACAGGGGGACGCAGCCCACTGCCCCGTCTATACAGGTGCACTGGTGTTTGCAGCCCGCACGGAAGTTTTCCCCATTTTGATACATGCGGCCGTTATACTCACACGAGCGGCCCTCCAGTTTGGCTGAAAAAACAAAACAAAGCAGATTGCACTACGTTTATATTACTTCATACACTTATTTTCCTTCGGCTTAGTCCCTTTATTCATCAGGGGTCTCCACAGTGGAATGAACCGCCAACTTATCCAGTTTTACATAATGGATGCCCTTCTAGTTGCAGCCCAGTACTGGGAACGCCCATACACACACACACGCACACACACCACAGCCAAATTAGTTTATTCAATTGACCTATAGCATGCTGTGGGGAAACCCCTGCCAACATGGGGAGAACATGCAACTCGAACCAGCGACCTTCTTTCTGTGATACCACAGTGCTAACCACTGAGTCACCGTGCCGCCCATATTTATAATACAAAAATGGTAATTTGTTCACTTTGTTGCAGTGCTGCTTGATTCTGATTGGTTTATGAGCTCTTATTATTACTTTTTGTCAGATAAAGGCACAGCTAAAGTAGTTCCGGCAGGTTTAGGCCCCGTTTACACTAGTGCGTTTTAGATTTAAAACGGCGTTTTAGAATGAAATCCACGAATTATAATAGAATGGATCCACGTCCACACTCGCGTTTTACCCAGCGTTTCTGAACTGGGGTCCGTTCTTCGTACGTGGATTACTCAGTTAGCTGGATTTAGATATTGACGATTTGACACGATCCAGGATCGTTTCGTTCTTCAAAGCTGATCCGAGAGTTGTTGTCATAGCAACAGTTCTGCTAGGTCAAACCTGATCGGGAGCAGGTTCAATTCATATAAACAGGATTAGATCGGCTCAGTTCAAGCAAAGATAATACAGAAAGTATGTTTCGAATTCTGATATTTTCTTACAGTAGTAGTTATATACACTTGGGAAAATGGTACATATTTTTTAACTATATATATATAAAGTTATAGTTATTAATAAAATAAATAAAGTTATACATATTAATAAAACGTATGCAATCTGCACCCTCGAAATGAAAGTACAAAGACTGCCACCTGGTGGTGCAAAGAGAAAACTTATTGATATGAACTTTTTAGATCACTTTAGTACAAATTGTGTATGATAGAAATGCAGAATATGTGATTTTTGTAAAGCAATAATAGCCTACGTTTATGCAGACTTTAACATGTTTTGATAGTTAATAGTGATTTGATGCTTCACAAAAGTTGCAGACGCCTTTACCAATATCAAAATGCTTTTGTAAACAACCAGTTATTCTTTACACCGATTAAAAAACGGCTACTATAATATATACAATATTTTCTAAATGTAGAACTAAATACACTGATATGCATTTAAATACATGATGAATGCTATTGACACATGAAAGTGTAAAGCCTGCCGCTCATAACAAATGTGGACGTTTATTGCGTGTCATATTTAACAAGCCGTTTACTGCTAATTTGATGTAATTTTGCTCACATGGATAATTGAATATTAATCAGATGATGTCATTACGCTGCTGTGCCGTCAGCCAATCGTTGCATTGCTGATCATGATTTCGAGGATCGATAGATCTGTCCTTCACAACACACGCAGCGATCTCAGATCAGTTTATCCAGACATTCTAATCTGATTCGCGAACTTGTTTGAAGAACCAAATTAGCCAGAGATCAGTTATCAAGATTAAAAGATCCAGGATCTGCCAAATCATCTTAGATCATTTAAGCGAGGTACGAAGAACGGACCCCTGCTCTCCGTCCACACCAAAACGCTGAAAACGCACATCACGTGACCACACACACACTCTCGGGCAAGCCCATCTACCCAGATGAGAGCTCTGCTAGTCAGACTTCTCATCAAGCATCTCCCGCTGGATCTAATCTCACTATATTTATTAAACGGGATATTTCATTCATCTTGTTGTCTTTATCTAACGACATATTCCCTGACTTTGGTCATTGGAATCTATTACTTTTTCTCAGGTAACGTGTTTTGGCTGAGCGCAAAGATAAGTTAATGATTAAAATAACCACGTAGCCTATTCTGTATATTGACTGATCGCTTGCCTTTATTTCCGATAATGTATAAACTTATTGTATGTTATACTTTTATAATGGCCATTATCGATTATTAAAACTGATATTCAGCAAAAGAGAGGCTGTGTTTCGTATTTTCACTGAAATTGAAAGGAGGCAGTTGTTATCGGCTCCGTTTTGTTATAAATATCCACACAGTGAAGATGACGCTCATATATGCAGCACAACGCCTCAACATTTCTGCTGTCTGTAAGTTGCTAATATTAAAATGAAAATAGGCAGTTCCTTAAATCATGTTTACATTTTATTGTTGAGAAAGTGAAACAACGTAGCCAGGGTGATGTGAATGAAGTTATAAAGTACACTGTTCCCTTTGAAGATTTACCCGTGTCCTCGATATAGTCTGTTTTCCATATCAAACTGAAAAGAAGACACTGCAGCCTTGATCAAACATGCGAAGTCTGAACTTACAAGGAGAAGATTCAGGACTGAACTGTTTGTAGGCTACTTAATATTGAGGAAAAGCCCCAATCAGAGGCGAATGTCAGCAGCCCCGCCTCCGTATTCAGATGTCTCCGTTTTCCATCATCCACACTGATACGGAGCAGCAGTGTTTCAAAATGAAAACGGCCTCTCCAGCGTTTTCGAAACGCTCCCTTTCCGGCGCTCGAGAACTCCGGCGTAGTGTGGACGGATGGCGTAACCGTAGCAAAACTTATGCGTTTTCAAACTAAAACGCACTAGTGTAAACGGGGCCTTAGAGCGCATTAGCTTCATATTACTCCACTGAATAAGTTATTTTACAGCTACAACAGTCAAAAATCACATCAAAACACAACAGTTGTGCGTTTTTTTATAATGATTTAAAAATTCATGCTGTTATTAGTGAAACTAGTGGCTAAATGCACAGCTACGCGCGTTGCATGTGCCGTGAGTTACGCCGGTCACTTGATGCAGAAGTATAAACCAGGCTTAACCCTAAACCAACTGGCCTAGCCAGGACTCAAACCAGTGACATTCTTGCTGTGAGGCCACAGTGCTGCTGTTTTCAAAGCCATTCATTCATTCATTTTCTTTTTTCCATCATCCACACTGATACGGAGCAGCAGGGTTTCAGAATGAAAACGGCCTGTTCAGCGTTTTCGAAACGCTCCCTTTCCGGCGCTCGAGAACTCCGGCGTAGTGTGGACGGATGGCGTAACCGTAGCAAAACTTATGCGTTTTCAAACTAAAACGCACTAGTGTAAACGGGGCCTTAGAGCGCATTAGCTTCATATTACTCCACTGAATAAGTTATTTTACAGCTACAACAGTCAAAAATCACATCAAATCACAATAGTTGTGCGTTATTTTATAATGATTTAAAAATTCATGCTGTTATTAGTGAAACTAGTGGCCGTTCAGTGAACTGCGATAGAAATGTAGTACTTGTGTAGGGTCAGACAGAATCTGCAGACATTTTTTGCTATTTCTGTGGAGAATTTTGAAAAAAAAAGGCTGATTTTTGAGGATTGATCACAACTAAACTTTATGAAACGTTTTTTATGTTTACGATGCAAATTAGATCCTCTAATTTGGTAAACAAAGCAAGCCTATCATATAATGTCTCTACTGAAAGACAGAAAATATTACTGCACAAACTGTATTGTAAATAAAACATATGAACCTTTTCATATTAGTCAATGATATAACTAATTTAAAAACTGAATAAACCTCAGCTCAGCTGATTCCGGCTGATTAGGCGCTGAACTTGGCATATACACATCATATTTATGTTTTGTTTTATGTGGCTTTACACAGTCAACTGCCTTTGGGATTATTTCTTATTATTATTGATGAAACATCAAAAAACACCACAGATTCAGTAAAAAAAATAAAATGAATAAAAAAACTTAGTCTTTTTATTCATCATGGTTCGCCACATCGGAATCTCCAACTTAAAGGCTGATTTATACTTCTGCGTCAAACGCCAGCGTATGCTACGGCACTGACGCATAGCCCTTCGCCGTGGCCATCGGGGTCACTGACGTGCACCTCTCAAAAAATGTAACTACACGTCGCAACAACGTGTAGTGCAAGCTCTGTGATTGGTCGGCTTGGTAGCGCTGACTAGTCTGGGCGGGGCCGAGAGCCGAATGGCGCGAGCGATTGTTTACAAGTGTGGAGTCCCGTGAAGGAGCTCCGGATGGAAAGTTTTGTTTTGTGTTTACCTAATGGTTAAAGTTGTTGCACGTCCGCCGGTTCCTGCCTCAAAATGAGTCACTTGTACATCTAGAAAGTGTTCAGGAAAAGCAAAACAGAAGCGAAGAAACTCGACACAGAGGAAGATTTACACCTCACTGCCAACTAAGTGGAAGTATTAATGCAGACTGACAGAAACAGCGCGCAGAAGTATAAATACACAGCTACGCGTGTTGCCTGCGCAGTGAGTTACGCCGGTCACTTGACGCAGAAGTATAAACCAGGCTTAACCCTAAACCAACTGGCCTAGCCAGGACTCGAACCAGTGACATTCTTGCTGTGAGGCCACAGTGCTGACCACTGAGCCACAGTGCTGCTGTGTTCAAAGCCATTCATTCATTCATTTTCTTTTCGGCTTATTCCCTTTTATTAATCTAGGGTCGCCAACGTGGAATGAACCACCAACTTATGCAGCAAATGTTTTATCCAGCGGATGCCCTTCAAGCTGCAACCCATCACTGGAACACATCCATACACTCATACACGCATATACACTACGGAAAATTTAGCCTACCCAATTCACCTGTACCGCATGTCTTTGGACTGTAGGGGAAACCGGATGCACCCGGAGAAAACTCACGCGAACGCAGGGAGAACATGCAAACTCCACACAGACATGCCAACTGAACCATCGACCTTGCTGTGAGGTGATTGTGCTACCCACTGCACCACAGCATTGCCATTTTCAAAACATTTGCACTAAAGTGTTATTTATACGTTGTTTATAAAATATTGCAAAATGTTACAGTAGCTATGTTTGCATCCAGAGACTTCAGAGATCAATATGAATTAAGCACATGCACAA